AACAATATTGTATACAAAAAGATAAAAATAAAAAGAGAGGAGTGACCTCACTAATATATAAAAGCATTATTGAAAAAGAATATGGAAAAGGTGGAGGATCTAAAACAGTCTGGGAAACAAATTTAAATATTAATATACCTGAAGAAATTTGGACAGGAATCTGGAAAAAATATCCATATAAATCTATTTCAGCAAGTGCAAAAGAAACGGTTCTAAAGGTTGTGCATCGATGGCATCTATGCCCTACAAAACTACACAGAATTAATAAAGATATATCTGATAAATGTTGGAGGAACTGCGGACAAAAGGGAACTCTGGAACATATGTGGATTTCTTGCCCCAAAATAGAAACTTTTTGGCTGGAGGTAATTAAATGGATAGAAACACTGACTAATCAAAAATAGAGATTAATGAAACATTATTGTTATTTTCATTATTCACAGGGGGAAATGAGAAACTACAATATAAAGAATTCATTGCAAATCTCATAGGTACCGCAAGATCCGAAATAGCTAAAAATTGGAAAAAAGCCCAAGATCTCTCACTGCAAGCATTCGCAAGTAAAATATGGCATACATTGCTGATGGAAAAAATGACGAATAAAGTTAGAGTACATAGAGGAGAAATAAGCCATAGTAAATTCACGGAAAATTGGAAGCCATTATTAAAATATGCCGATAAAATAGAGACGTGGTTTGAAAAGAAACTTAGATTGTTGGTCAATTTTTCTTTAAAAGGTGATGGGGAAAGGTATATATGTGAATTGGAGAAATGTGGGGAATAGTTTTGTATTTAATATTTGTAAAATGGTCGATTGTCTTTTCATTCTTTGGAAATAAATACATTAAAAAAAATGTCAATGAGCAGCCAACTGAAGATAGTAACTTGATAGATTCCTTGTTCCCACACATGCTGTGATGTCAATGTCTGATGCTCTATTTCATGTTTTTCTATACTGTATTTTGAAATAAATTAAGTACACGACATAAGGTTTTTTAATAGGTGTACTGAAATTTTGGAACACCCTCTTTAAGTATCTGAGCAATTTGAAAACCTGGTTATTAAGACTTCTTTCAAGCAAATTAATACTTACTTTAAAAGTACCTACAACTGTGACTTAATGACTAAGGTTTCACTGTATCTGTCAATGGATTTCAAAACCCAATCTGAATGAAGTAGTATGTAGTTTAATTTAGCTATCTAAAGCACTACTTTGATTTTTTTCTCCATATAAAGATAATACTTCTAGATGACTTCACCACAAAACTTCTATCATCATGTGGTAAAATGACTGATTTACTAGCAGAAGGGATAACTGGTAAGTATCTGCTAAACATAATTCTGTAGCCTTGGCATTGTTAGAAACTAGTTTTGCCAGTTGCTACTTTCTCTGCAGATAGATGCCTGTGGAAAATTATTTTCTATCTTTGAAATGTTTTCTCTTGAAATTTTCACTTTAATTCTTGACTCTCAATCATCTTGAATGAAACAAATCTGCAGAAACAAATCTGTTTGGGGTCAGATTTTGGACAAAGTTATTTGCATTTAGTTCCCATGAAAATCATAGGGAGTTAAATAATGGCAGACTTTTCCATATTAATTCCAGTAGGATGAAAAGTCTAATGTGTACTGGATCTGGCCTATAGATATTAGATGGGACTGATATGTACATCTTGCTGAATTCCTAAATTGTGCATGAGAACATTTGGCCATCCGCATGTTGATGGATTACATTTCTCATCAGTCCCAGCTAGCATGGTTAGTGTTTGTGATGACAGTAGCTATAGTCTAGCAGTGTTTGGAGGGTCACATATTCCCCTCCAAGGTTCTGCACCACTCACCTGTTTTATTATAACGTCTAGTCATTCTGGCAGTAGCTGTCACAAAATGCAAGGAGGGCAAAAGAAACCTGCCCATACTTGGGAAGCAAGTTTGGAAACCATTAATGTGTATTGTATGTTATAATCTATGTTTTGCTCAAACTATCTTCTTTTATTCTAAACTGCTGTATTTTGCTTTTAGCTAATAAATATATTAATAACTGTACAGCTCATTGCCTTAGTATGTGAAATTATGTTTTCTACATATGTAAAGCACAGTTGCAAAGACTGATTTAGCTTCATTTCTACTCCTTCTGCTGATCTATGTGACAGCTTTAGATATTTTACTTCTGGGAGATTTCAGCATACATGCTGAGACATAGTAGTCTGGAGCAGCTCTGGAGTTCATGGATTTCATAATGGCCATGGCCCTTCTCTCCATTTCACTGGACCAATTCATGTTTCAGATCACATTCTAGATCTGGTGTTCATGTCAGGACAAGGAGAGGATGATCTGAAGGTGTTGAATCCTCAGTCCTCCCCCTTTGTCATGGTCAGACCATCTCCTGCTGAGAGTTGGACTTGGTACAACTGTACCCTTCTCTGCGGAGGGACCTATTACTATGGTCCACCCATGAAAACTGATGGATCCTTTTGGTTTCCAAAGCATATTAGGGTTTTTTCAACTCATATGGTTGAACTACTGTTGATACTCTGATCACCTGTCAGAGTTTTCAGAGGTGACCTGAGCTGTAGACATGATCTCTTCTAGACATCCTCTTTGCTGCAGAGCCTGGCCTTCTCTAAGGCGTTAAGGATGATGAAGCAACATTGAAAAAGGCTACAGAGCAGATGGAAAAAAGCTCCCACATAGTTTAATTTTGTGGCTATCGGGGAAGCATCTGAAAGATAACAGAATAAACTTGAGGCCACTGAAATAAGATATTATCTCCAACTAGTTGAGACTGCTTCTAACTAACAGGAGGAACTTTCCTGTGCTGTCCATGGCCTTGTTTCTTCTGGACAAAAACAACATTTATTTCCAAATGTGTAAAACTGCAGTTGTCTGGCAGCTTACTTGAGACCCATGGTTCAAGGCATGCATTGGAACCGTGACTCCTTTTTGATACTAGTAGATCTGAAGATGTCCGACACACCATCTAGTGAGATTAAATTGCATCAGTTTCAGTTTATATGGCCTAAGGATGTGGACAAGACACTTGCACATTGCAAATCCATCTCTTCCTGTCCAGATCCTTGTCTATCATGGTTCTTCAAATCAACAAAGGTGTCGACCATTAATACATCTCTACAGGAGGGCTATTTACCTTCCCACTTAAAGAGACCATTATATGGCCCATTTCAAAGAAATCAAATTAAGCAACGGATTATTTTAATAACAATGGGTCTGCTGCCAATATTCTATTCATGGGCAAGTTGGTCAAGGGGGTTGTGGTTGACCAGCTGCAGGTGTTCTTGGAGGAAACGGATATTCATTTTATTTGGGGTTTAGGCAGTGTCATGGAACTGAAATGGCATTGATCACCATGCAAGACGATCTCTTGAGGGAGGCAGACAGGGAGAGTGTAATCCTATTGGTCCTCCTGGATCTTTCTGTGGCTTTTGATACCATTGACCATGGCATACCTCTGAGATGGCTGTCGAATTTAGGACTTGGGGTTCCACTTTTCAGTGGTCCCAGTCCCTTCACCCCTGGGGGAAAGATGGGTCCGGTAGCAATCCTCCTCCCATCTTGAGGTTTGGAAACTCTCTCAGCAGGTCACAGACCTTGTTAGCTTGTTCTTCCACTCTATCTGTTTGCACCACACTGTTTCTCCTGTTCCCTTCTTTCTTGCCCACTTCAATTCTAAATTCCCGCACTACTTCTTCCCCTTTTATAACCTCCTCCCATAATATCACATCTTGCTCCTCCCCTTTGTCTCCCTCCTTATCTTCCGCCAAGCATATCTCTATCGCCTTCTCGCCCTTAAATTCCTCTTTCTCTATCTTTATGAGGTCTCCCTCTACACATCCAGATGTCTCCTCCTCTCTATCCTCCACTGAGGACGGCACACTAGCCCTTTGTCCTTCACACATATACATAATCTTAGAAGAAGCAAATCTCCCTGTACATGAAATAACATGTATATGGTGTATGCCTTTTAAGGCAGTGATTGTAATCTGTATTTTTGGTAAGTTATCTAATATTTAAGTTATTTATATTTAAGTTTATATTATTGTCAAAAGTTTCGTAAGTAGCTTTTGGCGGTTCACCGAGGTACGTAGGAATGCCAGGAGTCTGAACATCTAAAGCAGAACAGTTTTTATTAACTTTCAACATTGGGGTATCTATCACAACTTTGGTAGGCTCTAACATGTCCCAGTCACACAACTTTCGTTTAACTTGTCCATATGGGTTAACCGCGTACTCTTGCCTCAGAATCAGGGAGCCAGACCAAAACGCTCCTTGTCGGTAGGTTTCCGGAGTGGGGTACTTCTCACCGCACAAAGTGTCCCACAACAAGGGTGGCGTGCCCAATCTCCCTCTTCCGGGGGCTTGCTGAAAGTCAGGTCTGGGCGTACCACCTTCCTCCAAGGACCCTGACCTCGTGGGTAGACCACCACTGTCCATTCTTTGGTCTCTTGGACTACAACACCTCCTTGCTTTGTTCAGGGTCAGGTAATAGTCCTCCGACCCTTAGGTTCGGAAAGTCCTCCAGTAAACTTTTTACTTCTTTCGCCTTGGTCTTTTCCCTCTCCTCCTTCTTCACGCCCGTTATTACTTGAAAGTCCCGCACATTGTTACCTCCCTTTATATCTTCCTCCCATACATCCACCCATTGCTCCTTCCTCTTACTTTTTCCCTCCTCTGTCAGGCAGACCTCTGTTTTAATCCTCTCTTGTTTGGCAGCTCTCTCCGAACTGTCCCCCTTTTCTCCTTCCTCTTTGATGTTCTCTTTCACCGGAGGAGACGGCGCACTAGCTGCCTCTTGACCTTCACAATTATATTTATATTAAATATACTTATATTTAAGTTATATAATATTTAAACATTATTTAGATCATTCTGTTTTTAAATAATGTAATCTAGCTAATTAATAAATAAAACTTAATACTTCTAGTTAGTAATATCTTTTGTCACATTCTTCATAATGCTATGAATTAAGTTCACATAGTTTTCGTTATCCCTTGTGAACCACTTTGGATTATTTATTGGGAAGAAGGATAGAATTGAAATAGCTCCACTATGAAAATGGAGTTTGCCTTTTAACAAATCTTTATTAAGAGATCTGTTAAGTATTTTTAAAATAGGTTTTTCAGATATAAATGTGTTGGAATATTAAATCGCTTTCCCGTATTCATCTTTTATTTTGTAGTTGTTGAGAATGTTTACAAAAATCGTGAGCCTGTCCCTCATATGAAAGCCATTTATCTCATCACACCTACAACAAAGGTTAGTATTTCAAAGGGAGGGGAGATGCATCAGATGGACCTGATCTTTTCTTTATGAAAATATGATTGTATGGTGAAGAGTGCATAGGTTATTGTTGCAGTAAGAGGTAGGGTTTTTTTTAGAAGAACTGCTAAAACCCCCACACTATATATTAAGGCCTATCCAGTTATGGCCCAGTTTTCGATATAAGGGCTAGGTTTATGTAGTTTCTTTAATCCCATTGAGATCAGATTAAGCAAAATGTTAAAATAGCTGAGCTCATATAACAAGCACTGTTCTGCTCTTTCCTTTCCAGTGTGGTCTTCTTTGCATCATGAATCTCCAGGCCTGACGCTTGGGTAGTAATTCAGAATGTCATGAGTGTGCAGATTAGAGCTATGTGCTGGTGATGGTAGAATTTGTGAAGGTCCTCTTGTATGAGGCACATATTTTTTCTGCTAATGCAAGGAAATTTTGGATCTAACCTGGTTTCCCATTTTTATATCTAATGCTAAACCCTAGTATAATTGTAGTTTTAGAAGACGTAGCTGTCTTAGTCTATGCTAGTATATCAGGTCAGAAATATTGCTTGTGCCTCTTATATCTAAACCCAAAACTCTTGTTAGTTAATTTAAAGTTTATATCAACAAGTAAGGATTATGTCAACCTTTCATTTTGGCATATTCTAATTAATGATACTTGTGCTTTCTAAATTCATTGTTCTTCCCAATCCTATCTTTAAACACATCTGTGGCATCTGTGGTTTACTGCTTTCTAAATACATTCAGATATTTAAGGTTGTACAAAAATAATGATGTTGAAATACCTTGATTAAAAAAAAAAATCTGAAGCTACTATTTTCCCCTTCTCTGTTTGTTTTGTTTTGGCACTTGTGTAAGACAATATGTCCATGATTCAGAGTTCAGATTTATTCTGATTGTTTCTCAGTTTGCTATTCTTAATGTAGTTTTACTTAGAAAAAATATTGGCTGAAATGCTGTTACCCATCTTTATATGCACAACAATGATCCCTGTAATTGGCAGCAAATACTGTTAATTAAAAGCAATTTTTGGGGTGCTCTTAACATGTACATAATGCTACAAACCCATATGCATCCTGAAAGCACCAAAGGAAACATTTCTTTAGTAGAAATTTGCTGCTGCTGCTGCTGCTGCTGCTGCTGCCGCCGCCGCCATCTTCATGGCATATGGAGAACTGTGCAGCAGAATTTCAGCACGTGTTTTAAATGTTTTGCCGATTGATTTTAAGTGCAAACAAAACACATATTAATAATTAAATAAAGTGTATTGTCTTTATTTTTCAGTCTGTGGATGGGCTTATAAATGACTTTGTCAGTAAATCATCTAGCAAATACAAAGCAGCGTATGTCTATTTCACTGACTGTAAGTATTCAGTGATTAGAAATTAATAGTTTTCTTTGGTATTGGCCATTAGTGTAGCCATGACAGTAGCATTTCATTTTTTTTAATATTTCAGGTATATGTTGGGGCTGAAGTTGACGTATAAACAAGCTGTCTTACTCTGTAACCCTCATACTGTCCTGTAGATCTTTATGCAGGGATGTTTAAATGTTTCTTGGCTGCTGTTCATTGCTAAGAGTTGGTTACACTTTTTGGAACATTAGCTGACACTGAGTTGGTCTGCTATAAATGAAAATACAGTGGTGCCTCGCTTAGCGATTGCTTCATTTAACGATGTATTCGCTTTGCAATGGGTTTCTTTGAGGAAATTTCCCCATCGTTTAACGATGTTCTCTATGGGGGAATTTCACTTA